CACCAATGGCACAGCCTCAAGCCTTACAACAATGTGCAAGCCCCACAGGATGACAAACGGACAGACAAGTTTGTCTTCCTTAGCTGTTGGAACCTCTCCACCCTCCCCTTACCTAATTCCTACCTGGATCCTGCTGCTTTCTGGTCCTCCAGGGGCTAGGTCCTGCCTCCTGTCCCTTATCTGGATCCTGCCATTTTGGTGGTCCCTGGGGCTCCCTCCCTTTCCTGGCTCTGGGGCGTGGGTCCTGCCTCCCGCCCCTTACCTGGATCCTGCTGCTTTTGTGGTCTCCAGGCCTTCCTCCTTTTCCTGGCTTTGGGCGTGGGGGGAGGAGGCGTTAGATCAATTAAAACAAGTCCATGAGAGCCAAAATATGACCTTGAACATATCCCTTCTGAATTTAGAGACTATCTAAAGAATAGATTTGTTGCATTGAACACCAATGACCAAAAACCAGAAGAGTTGTGAGATAACATCAAGAGCATCATCCATGAAGAAAGAAAGAAGTCATTGTGGTGGTTGTCTGTGTGTCAGTTTGGCTGGGCCTGGTTGAGTGGTTGGGCAGCTGGTGGTAGTTATTCCCCATGATGAGACTAGCAATCAACTCCATGATAGGACCTACCACAAACAGCTGAGTAGCTGCTTTAAGGATGTGGTCTGCTTCCTGTATATAAGAAACAGCTTTGGGAATGGTCTCTATCTTATGGCACACTTGAACCCTGCATGTAGCCATGTCATTGTTCAGCAGCCTACCATACTCTGCCTATCCTGGGACATTCAACAGACTTGAATCAATGGCCTGCCATGTGGCTTGGTAACATTGGGACTGTGCCATTTTATTTGCCAATCTTGGGCTTTTTAACCTCAGCAGCCACTAGCTGCTTGAGTTAAGAGATGCCTCTAGATTCAGTGAGCCAAGAGCAAGAGGCAGAGCTAAAGTCCAAAAGGTTGAGGGGCTTTCACAGAGCCTCTAGAGCCTGGGACTTTAAACTTGGACTTGAAGCCTTCAAATTGTAAAAATAAACTGTTGGATAAAGCCATCCTATTTGTAGTATATTCTTGTCACAGCAGTACTAGGTAACTAGAACAGTCATTAAAAATATGAGAAAGAAAGAAAAGACCAAAATGGATATCAGAAGAGACTCTGAAACTTGCCCTCGAGCATAGGTAGCTAAAGCAAATGGAAGAAATGACAAGATAAAAGAGTTGAATGGAAGATTTCAAAGAGCAGCTCAAACAGACAAAGCCAATTACTATAATGAAATGTGCAAAGACCTGGAGTTAGAAAACCAAAAGGGAAGAACATGCTTGGCATTTCTCAAGCTGAAAGAACTGAGGAAAAAATTTAAGCCTTGAATCACAATATTGAAATATTCTATGGGCAAAATATTGAATGATACAGGAACCATCAAAAGAAGATGGAAGGAATACCAGAGTCACTGTACCAAAAGACTAGTCGATCTTCATCCATTTCAGGAGGTGGCATATGTTCAAGAACCAATGGTATTGAAGGAAGAAGTAGAAGCTGCACTGAAGGAATTGGTGAAGAACAAGGCTCCAGGAATTGATGGAATATCCACTGAGATGTTTCAACAAATGGATGCCCTGCTGGAGGCGTTCACTCAGCTATTCCAAGAGATTTGGAAGACACCTACCTGGCCAACTGACTGGAAGA